TAAATTCCGCCACCCTCTTCAAGTGAGGTATGAGATCATCTTTTTAAGTCTTCATACTTGAGAAATAACACTTTATCAGGTCGCTCTAAACTCATCTTCCAAAATCCAAGAACATGCTCAAAGTAGGGCCCATATAATATTTTTCCTTCATAAAAGTCTTGAAAAAAATCCTCAACAGATTTTGCAAAATCTTCCTTTCCTATCTTTTTCGCATACTCCACGGTGAAATAATAGAATGAAACAAGAGTGTCCAAAGGATTTCGACAAATATACAGAATTCGACACCCGGAAGTCTTAATAGACTCTGGAAGGGATGTGTAGGAAACATGAGTGCTAAGAAGCCTAGGCGACTCAAGTTGATTAAGATGATGTGGCTCAGGATAGGCAAATGCTTGGTTATACAAATCACTCTCAAGGTTGTACACAAGCTCTTGTGGATGATGGGTGAGTAAAGGACTATGATGAATAGGATGATTTTTGCGGTGAACAATTGCAAAGAGTAGAGATTTTAACCAAGTAGTGCCGGTTTTTGGAAAGCCAGCAATGAATAAATCAGTGTTACGAGCAACAAAATGTTTTTGAAAGGTGAGGACATTTCTCAAGATTGAAAGAGTATGCAAGTACCAAAACCCCTCATACTTAATTAGTGATGAAGAAGGTATGGCACTCATGGTACACTTAGGAAGGGATTGAATCAATTTTTCAACTTCTTCTTCATGGACGTATATATTATCGTCCATTTTATCATTTTGATTCATAGTGAATAAGTTTGTATTAGGAGTTGAAATAATGAGATACTATGAATTGAAGAAGATGGTAAATTGTATATGTTTGATTTCTCACCACACCAACTCTTATAGAAACCTTCTAAATTTTAAATTAATATAAATAAGATTAAATCTGGTCCATAATAATCCATTGTACCTTTGTACTAGAGTATAAGCATCCATGCAACGAGTATTATACCTCAAAATGCTCACATGTCAATTACTCTCTCCGTTTTTAAATACTTGCTTCATTTTTCTATGCATGGAGTTTTAGAAAGAAATTTGAGAAGGTAATAACATATGGAGGCCGATAGTGGGGAAGGTGAAATAATAAAAAAAATTGAAAAAACATAAGTAGTGGAGAAAATTGAAAGAGAGAGAATATGAAATTAATAAAATATTATTTATCTTGGGTCCACTAGGTGAGAGAAATGAATTAAATATTGTAAAAACATTCCAAATAAGAAAATGGAGCAAGTATTTAAAAACAGCCGAAAAAGAAAAGTAGAGTAAGTATTTAAAAACGGAGTGAGTAAAAATGTATTTGTCCATTTCAGTCGTTGTAAACTACGGAGTACTCACTTCCTCTATTTTTATTTTACATGACTTGTTATTTACTCTCTTTATATTTCAATAAATAATCTATTTTTTTTTTGGTATACAGTATATATGTGGAGGAATAGTAGAATGCATTGATTTATGGAAAATTTGTTAGAACATACCATTTAAACAATTTTTTTTACAAAGAAACGGCACTCAACAAATTTTCAAGTTTGACCACAAAAATACGACATTGACGAGTCATTTGCCAACTTATTGATATCATTTGCAAAAAATACTCTCTATCTCTCCTAAAAAAACTCCTTTAAGTCTCACTATTGGAAATGGTTTAAGTACATTTACTAAGAAATTAAATTAGATGATAAAGAAGATGGTATTTATGAACATGAATTATTGATGACAATATATATGATGAGCATTAATTTTGGATTCTACACCAACTCCAGGCTATCTTTAGTTATAGAGTCAGTAGATACCTTTAATTTCTATATCTTCAAAAATATACTAATTCATATATATATACTTGTATATACTAGTCGTTGGAGCACGCGCGTTACGCGTGCCCCCCGACGGCAAGATAAGTAAAATTCGTGGCTGTGTTCGGTTGCTGTGATATTCGTGGTTGTGTTCGGATTTTGTAATAGCAGGGACACATGAATTTATAAGTAATAAGGAGTAGTGATAAAGTGTCTATTGGAAAATATCTATGAAAAACAAATTGTTATAAGTGAAGTTATCTAGAATTTGCTATAATTTAAAGATTCTTAAAAAAATATATTACTCCCTCCGTCCCTTAATATAATGCCTCTTTTGAGCATTTATTCCTCACATAATAAAGTGAAAGAGGCATTCTATTAAGGGACGGAGGGAGTATTGGTTTAGATATTATTTTAAAACGCAATATAGTTTCTTATTGATGAGTATCTAAATAATTTTCGAATAGCTTTGTTTTAGAATAATTGTGATAATAAGGAGTAGTTATAAGGAAATGCAACAATAAAGGATAAAGTTATGAAAAATGAATTAAATGTAAAATATACAAAAGTATTGTATATTTGTTTGTTAGACTTTTTAAGTAGAAAATTTTCGAGTGGTTTGAAAATTTTAGTAGTTAGAGTGTGTAATCGATATGAAATGTATAAAATGAATGAGAAATATCATATGCGTATATATTAAAGTTTATTTATTGGTTATTTATCTATAAATCATTTTATGTACGATTTTTAGATAATACAGTTGGAGGGAATAACTTTATAGTTTTTATATTTAAGTTTATAGTCGTTGGAACATGCACTACGCGCGTCCCCCCCCCCCCCCCGGTAAAATATATAAGATTCGTGGTTGTGATCGTGTTTCGTAGTTTGGGGTGTTATTAATATAATGATTAGGGGATCTTATTTGTGTGGTAGTCACTAACTTGGTTTTAAGTTCTTTCAATCTCTTCTTCCTTCATAATATAACCTCTCTCTTATATTTATTCCTTGTCTTTTGTCATTTTCCTTTTCTATTCATCCTTGCTTTTTTCACCTTCTTGTTCCTTTTTTATCCTTCCTATCCACTCTTCTTGTATAGTTTGAGCGGTTTAGTAAGCCATCCTCTCTCTCTCTCTCTCCTTCTCTTAATTGCTCTATTTCTTTCTCTTCCGACCCTTATCTCTCTCTCCCTCTCCTGCTGGATCATCTCTATCTTAATCTATCATGACCTTTCTCACTCTATTTCTCATCCCCCCTCTCTCTCTCGTCCCACTCCTTCCTTCTTTACCCCTCTCTCTCCCCTCCTACTCCCTCCCTCTTTTCCTCACTCTTTCTCTCTCCTCCTCCTACTCCTTCCCCTTTTTCCTCTATCTCCTCCTCCCACACCCTCCTTCTCTTACCCTCTTTTCCTTTCCTCCATCCTTCTTCCATCCTTTCTCTTAAAAGCTATCTATTACTATGGTTATATAAACATACTTGTGAATCTAGCACGTTTCTACATGACAATAAGGTTGAACACTTTATTCTAAAAGTGCTACAAATTAGTTAACATTTTCATAATTGTCACAAAACCACATTTGTTAATAAATTACATTTACTGAAAGAATTGAATTTTGTCCAAATCTAATTGTCGATTTCTATTTACTGTTTCTTGGTCACTCTATTTCTCTATCCTTTTAACATTCATTTATGTCTTATAATTGAGTATTTTAGAAAGTTTTTAAAAAGTATTTTATCTCTCCTTCCTTTTTTTAAATTTCCTCAAACTCACATTGTCTCTTTCTCGGTCTCTATGTCCCTCTTCTCCTTCCTCCTTTTAGATGACCTTTTATTCTCTTAGCCACCTTCCTCTTGATCCTTCTCTCTCTCGCTCACTCTATCCCCCGACATGCTCTTTACTCTTAACTTATGGCCTTGATTTTCTCTGTTCCTCATTAAGCCCACCTTCCCTCTCTTTCATATCACTTTTCTCTCTTACCCCCTCGGCCCTTCCCCCTCTCTCGGTCTTGCCTTTGCTCCCTTTCCTTGCACTTTTGTCACTCAACCCCCCTTCTCTCTATCTCTCTCCGGTTTCTTTTCCTCTCTCTCTCTCTTCTAGCCTTTTTCTTTCCTAGCCCCCTCTTTCTCTCTCGGCCCCTCTATTCCTCCCCCCCCTTTTTTTTTCATCTCCTATTTCTTACTCTCTATATCTCTTTCTCTCCTTTATCTAGTCTCTCTCACTCCGTTTCCTTCTCCCCCTTCCTACCTCCTACTTCTATCTTTCTATAGTTATCTATAATTATGGTTGTACAAATATTAAAAAGATCAAACGCTCTCTCTCTCTCGTATGGTCATGCAAATCCCAAAAAAAGTATTTGCGTCTGGAGCGCGCGGGTCGCACACCCCCTAACTTTGTCCACGTAACTTTGTAGATGTGTTTTTACACTCTGGCTTGGTAAGATTTTTCACTTTGTATGATTGTTTATTGTATTATGTGAATTGAATTCAGTTAAATTGCAAGAAGACAAGAGCTAATCGGTGAAATGTGATTGATAAGTATTTGTCAGTTTCTTACTCTAAACCGTTTCTCCATCCTTCCTTTATTTTCCAAAACCCTCTATTTCTCATTCTTAGGGCCTGTTCACATTTACTGAACTGAACTGATTGGAGCTGAACTGAAATAAACTTAATTGAGCTGAAATGAATATTTTATGAGAGAGGGAAATTATTAGGAGATGAACTGAACTGAATTGAACTGAAATTAAGTAAATGTGAACATGCCCTTAGTCTCTATCTCCTTCTTCTCCTTTCTCCTTTTTTATGACTTCAAAACTTATAGGTCTCCCTCGAGTGTATGGATATTTATGCAAACTAAAGAAACTAACTTCTTAGGAATCTAGCATTAATCTATCTACCTTAAGGTTGATTTTTTGTTTAAAATGTAGTTTTAACTAATCAATTTGAATTTCTACATAAAGTATCTCAATATCTTTTAAATCTTAAAACTTTGTTGATTTTAAATCACATAGATATATAAAGATATAATTCCTCTACTAACTACTACAATCAACTTAAATTTCTACGCAAACTATCTCATTATACCTTATAAATTTGAGTTTATTTATTTTTTATTTTTTTCTTTTGTATTAAATGTATTATTAATCAATTTGATATTAAACTCTTTTCTCACAATTAATTAAAAAAAAAAGCACCAACTTGATACCTAGCCTCAAGAACAAAGATATAATTTCTCTACTAAAATCACAGTACACATATTGAAGTTGAAAACAAGTACACATTATTCTCATATATTCACTTATATGCTCTTGCATTACTTCATCATTTACGTATCTAATTCTATCCATTTCTACCATTTAAAACTATAAATTAAATACTACTCGTACTACAAATGAAATTAAATCCCATAACCTCAACCTATAACTCCATCACCATCTCACACATGCTTCATCTACCATCCGAGAGTATGGTTGTATCCTTGTCTTCTTGGCGCCTTTAAGCACTTGCTCCACTCCTATAAGTAACATCTTGGCCCTAATATTTCAGGCTTGCTCACTTCATCCCAAATTATCTGAATAAAACAGTAGAATAAAAAAATAGAGCTAATCACAGATGATAACACGGTAAACTATTAGCTTGTATTATACCTAAAGTTCATATATATACCTGAAGTTCATACAAAAGAAACCTACAAGTAGTTTCCTCTTCTGAAAGAGGAGCATTCTGAATGTCACCCATATTAAGAGATATTTGTAACCACCAAATTATTAATCTGCAGATATATCAGTTACATAGATAAGCAAACAAAAAAGAACAAATAATGTATTAACTTGCGGACATATATTTAAGATATCTAAATGATGATGAAGGCATATGCAAAAGCTGATGCTTTAAATTCAAGATACTTAATTCTATTATTCTATCTGCCTTTAACAACTTATACACTTAATCTGCGATAGATCTATGGGGAAAAGCATGGCCTAGACTTATATCCAAAAGGCACAATATAAATATATAACGCGAAAAAAAAAACACTAAGCTGCATACACGTCCGATCAGAAATCAAATACAAGAAATCACACAATAAGCATTCCATAGAAAATTGTGGGTCTTCCCATAAGAGCCTGTAAGAGCAGCCATTAACCAAAAATGCTTAATATATATAAGCAATAAACAAGTTCATTATCTATCATGTTTGACGAAAAGAATAATGTGCTGCCAATTTCTATAATCTAAATATAAATGTACTGTATAAGGCAAAGCATCATAAGAAGATGAGAGGTTTTACCAAAGCAGTATATCTTAAGAAATAAACCCAAAAACAATTCATAGAACCCACTATTCATTCAGCACCATTATTCTGGAATGCCAATGATGCCTTCATCCCAAGCCTACTCAAGAACAAGGCACATAGGATGTGCAGAAGAAACACGAAGAAGCAACAATTTAGCAAGAGCTGCCAGAAAAAGAGAGTGTAAGCTTGATGGCTACATTATACAAAATAAAGAATTGATTTTTTTTCTCTATTTATAGTAACAAAGCCTAAATGTTCAGAAATTTGTAAGTCAATAAAATCTTTCTTTAAATATTAATAATGATAGTTATAAAATACAGTTAAATTCATACAAGCACAACAAAAAAAAAAAAAAAAAAAAAAAAAAAAAAAAAAAAAAAACCCTGCAAAAATCCGTAAAAGCAAGAAGTCACTCACAGATACTTATTATGAGGTTCGGAGCTCCAAAAGCATTTGAGCAGAGTGCTTGAGAACTTCTCTGAGATTGTCTTCCTCTCGATCTTCTCCTCTTTTCCCCCTGAAACTCAACAAAGCAGAGCGAGCGAGTGAGAACTACAACAACTTTAGAGTTACTACAACTCAGCTGTTGTATCAGGGCTAGCTGACAGATTCAAGGGGTGTATTATTGCTCACAGATCATCAAGATTTTATACAAGAAGACCTGTATAAAAACACACAAAACAAGTATGAATAGCAGAAACATTGATGTAGATAGTTTCAACTGAAGTATAAGTGAGCAATCTAAATAGTCAAAGAAACAGGAAGAGACGTACGCTTAAACTCATCAAGACCCCCGACCAGATTTGGAATTTAGGTAATGCCCACCTGCGAACGCAATCATAGTAGGGTGTCCTTTTTTTTTTATCTATGCCTCCTAGATTAACTTTGTTATGGGAAAGGTCATAATGTTTCTCTTATCTTATGACAAACTTTAGGCAGAAAAGTCTGCCTCCTTTTCAAATACTTTAAGAACATGGAACCCGTCTTCTTCACAAGATTACAAGTAAGAGGAATCTTCGGAACATTAAGTCATCTATTTCCTTATGTGCACTTTAGAAACTTCTGTCAGTTTTGTAGCACACATTATTTGTTATAGGAGTAGATAAAGTCATAAATGACAAATGACATAAACGATATTCAATTTCGGGTCATGACTACGTTGTTTGGTGATCGCGATGAGTTGTATTTTCCTAAAGTAATGACTACTCTCTAAGATTTAATGAGTATTGGGCCATTGGCAGGCTTTTAATACATACAAATCAAGAAAATAAAGTAAGAAAGCAGAGATGTAAATTAATTGAAGTGCTCAAGAACAAAAAGTATAGAAGAGTAGTATATTTGTAATAATCTCAAACAGAAGAGCTTGATATACTTTTAGAATCCATCGCCTCACAAACTCATGGAGATTCATAGAAATGCAAGGTCTAACAATGATCTAACTTTAATTTGCACATATTTTGAATAAAAACTAATTATTACTTCAGATACAAAGGATCACGATCCTGCTCACCATCATTAAATTCAAGCAGGAAACGGCACGCATAGTTGACATATAAAAATAGGAGACAAGAGTGAATATATTTGAAAGACTAACCTCTTTACTCTAACAAGAATGTCCAGGTTTCTTTTTCGGTAGTTAAGTTGATATGGAGTCAAGGAGGGCCCACGCAATTGAATTTTCATTTTTGTTATAGAAGCACAAGACTAACTTCAAACACTGCATTATTTTGCACCAACCTGCAATTGCTGCTAATATTACAGTAGAAAAGATAAAAGATTATCAAGTTATCAGTTGTGTGGTGTAAATTACTCTCACATATATATTAATAAATTATAAGGAGACTATCATATCAAACATGACTTCTTTGTTGACTCCTTAATACTTCCCAAACTCACTTGATATATAAGTAGAACACAACCCTTATCTAGACATACCACATGTACAAACCTTTACATATATATTTTCTCACCTCATTTAATAAAAACAACAAAAGGCTCATGTAATACAAAATAAGAAGTTAATTAAGAGTGATGAATAAACTTGGGAAGATTAGTGTTCCTTCATCAAATCTATTTTATAAACATTTAAACCCTTCAATACATTTAAACTAATTAACTTTAGTCACTCACACATTTGAAAATTTAACATATACATTTATCCTCATCACTTTGGCAAATTATCAATTAGTCATTATCCAAATAGTCATTAATCAAAATTGCCCACATTTTAACTTTATAACTAATGTGTAAATAAATGGAAGAAGGGAAGACAAAATAAATAAGAGAAGCCCAAGCATTCATTTTAGCACCCCAACCAACCCAACACAACAACACCACATAGGCATCAAATGAGTAATAACAGCCCGCTGCGATAGAACCAGGGTAGAAGATCGTAGTAAATTCCAGAAGGCAGAACTCCTAGCACACAACTCCAAATCGAGAAATTCTTGAGCCTAGATTGAATAACTTTTTGAGATCTAAAACATTGATTAAGAGACTATGAGCTAAAAACAACTTCAGGTGATTTTTGGACGAACAGAACAGCAATAACAGGGCAGCACCAGAATAACAGCGGCAACAGCGTGAAAAACAGCTACCCTCTATAGTCAATCACAATAGCAATATCTAACTTGAAAGTATAAATTTTGGCAGCAAACACCATATGCATATAAGCAAATTAAAAAGAGAAAATATTGGGACAAAATGGAAAGATATGGAAAAAAATAACAAGTAAGCTATTCATATTAAAGGTTAGGTGAAAATTGAACCAATTTGAACAAGAAAGAGAAAGGGGAGTTAGAATGGTACCTGTAGATAAACAATTTTGTTACAAATCAGACAATAATGTTACTAACAATATATTTGGATGCTCCAACATGAGCTGCATAACTAAGAATTTCAGCATTTACAAAGAATAGAGGTCAGTACAGCGACTAACCCTCATTTAGTTTCGTTTCCGCAACTTGAAGCCCTGAAACTGATGAAAAAACTGCAAAAGAAAGAAAATAGGATACTTACTTTATAGTACTCCAAATTCGCATTAATATTCAACATATACTCTTTTCTTTTTCATAACTTCAGAACTAGGACTTAGTACATAAGTAAAAGACTACAAATAAAACTACGAAGTCTTTAACATACATAAATGTGCAGTATCGATAACATGCTACACTATTATGAAATCGGGTCGGGAAGATAAAGGTTACGCAACTAACAGAGAGACTGCTTTCAAGACTCCATGACCTCATAACAGAATAGGAAAATTGTATGATTGTGCAAAGGAGATAAGGTAATTTTATATGCTTATTCTTTTCAAATATAAATTGAAAAACAACATTGCAATCGAGCACACACAAAGCTTGCTCAATTTTTAATATGTTATGCAAAATATTAACTATACAAATGAACAAGATTCCAAATTGCAAGTGTAAATCAGGTGCTGAATGGAAATCTAAATACTATGTATTTAGGATGTATCTTAATTTGTGGTATAAATTGTATTAGGGACTCCAACAACACAAATTTATCAAAACATGATCATATTATCAAACCAGATCAAACAGGCCACTGAAATTTATACCTTTGCAAAGACATCACATAAGTCTGACCTTTTGTTCCTCTTTCTCCCTTCTAGCAGCGCTCTACATCCTTAATAGCTGCTACCAGAATGTCACCTATAACCCCCATTTTGATTAATACCTAGTTCATTAAATTCAATATTAATCACTATTAAAATTTTTAATAATCAATCTCCAATCAAAAAATTCGAAATTAAGTATTCCCTAATAAATCAATCTTTCAACTTACAGTTCAAACCTCATATAAAAAATGGTAGCATTACTAAATCAACTTTAAAGTAGATTACAACAAAAATCAAAGCTTAACAAATACCCAACTAAAAATTGCAATCACAATATCAGATCCCAAGAAATTACACTATCAGAAAAACACAAGTAAAAATAACAAAAACCCATTCAGAAACACACAAAGCAAATCTGATCTTTAGCTATTGAATAACACGATGCTAGGATCTTAGTCAGCCACAAATGAAGATTAACAAAGTCAATGTCTCAACAATTCACAATTATTTCATCTTTAACAATTCATAATTAGCGAAGGGGAGCCCGATCGGGCCCGCCTTTTTTCTATGCTCCTTCTGATATGCCGCGCCCGATCGAGCCTACGCTCACCTGATCGGGCGCGCCTTTCCTTGATGGCACTCATACGCGCAACCGCCCGATCGGGCGAATGCTTGCCCGATCGGGCCCGATCTTCATCTTCAAGGCTTGGACTTCGATTGGGCTAGATTTCTCGGCCCAATCCATATTTCCTCTCGGGTCTCGAATACATGGTCCAAATGCCTCGCGATCCAAATAACCGAGCCCTTAGTCACCGGCTCTCACCGATCTTGGGCTCCGAAAGTGGTCGTGTCCTTCTAGCTTCCGTAGTCGATCCAATAAGGCCCGGGAAAATGCTCCAAGAGTGCAATTTTCTGTAAAATACAACTAAAACTACGAAAACACTAGAACACACAAATTAGTAATAAAAGTGGCCTGAAAGAGCCAAAAACACTACTAATAATGACCACGGGACGGGGGTAAAACACTATATAAAATAGACATATCAAACTCCCCCAAGCCAAACCTTTGCTTGTCCCTAAGCAAAGAGCTCATCAATGAACATATAAAACACACTTCACCCCAATAAACAAATCAAAAGCCATCGATTCAAGGTAAAATTAAATGAACATGCTTCAACATCAATCAATCTTATTCATCTAATCACCCTTCCTCCCCAACAATTGTCAAGTAAAGCAAACCACAAGAGCATATAGAATTCAAGACTAGTGCTCACACACTCGACTCTCATTTATGTGGCGAGTAAAGAATGTACCCGATCGCTCTCCACCCAACCCCTTTAGTGTGAACAATGCCCTCCCAACTCACACTCTCGTGTGTATAAAAAACATTGAATGCTCATCCTACTAGTCGACTCGAAATATGCCAAGTCATAACTTGCATTGAAAAACAACACTTTCACATTTACATAACTTCTATGCACAAGGTCAGAAGGTCTTTTAACCTTGTAATGTAAGACTAGGGTAAAGGTAGGATAAATTTGGGATTATGTGAGAGAAAAGATATGCTTAAAGGAGCCATATCCTAATAAAACCCATGATAAAAAATAATGATCATACACATCTCCAACAACAAACCACCAAATATACTCCAAACAACAAAAACAATCCCAATACTTACAAAATTCACTCACAAAAATATGACAATATGGAACAAGAGTGAATAACAAACCTTGAACTCATAACTTGTAATATTTACATTGAAACTCAACTTTTTTTTTTCTTTTCTTTTGATTAACCTTCACTTAGAACATTTGAACATCAAACATTTTTTTTTTTATTTAGAAGTTCACTTTCTTTTTTTCAAATTTCTCACTTTTTTTTTTTAAACTTTTTTTTTTCCATCACACTTTTTTTTTCTCAAATATATACAACTTTCAAACTCATAAAAACAAAAACATGATCAAGAACAAATTACTTCTCAAAACCCACCCAAATTGTGCAAATAGTGTGCACACTACAAACTCCCTCACCTCACTCACTAATAGCTCCCCCAAGCCAAGCTTGGGACTAGTAACCAATGGGGCAATTAAGGCTTGTAATGTGGCTATAAACAACAAAAAGGTCAAGGCAACAACATGGGTGACAAAAAGGGAACAAATGTATCTAAATACTCCGAAGGCTACCTAAAAGAATGAACGCCTTCGTCCTCCTCATGTGCATAATAATAAGTCATGAAACACTACTCATAGTTGCAAATCAATACTCAAATTTATTGACATACCAGGAATTATGGAACTATCACACATTTCCTAACCAAATCAGCTAGTCAAGCACTATATTCACAAGTAGTTGGGCAAAATTGACGCATGTTTAGGATTCCAAATAATTAGACTTCAAATCATGACCAACAAATCCACAAAATTCATCATCAAATACCAAGAATCAAAACAAATTTTATCAAGTATGGGGCACAGGGAAGCATGATTTACAATTCATTGGAACGTATTTTTGAATTTTTTTAATTTTCAATTTTTTTTTTTATTTTTCATAAATAAGAAAGCAATAAAATACTACACTAGGAAAGCAAATAAAAACTATACTAGAAAGCAAATAAAGAGAGAAAAGGAAGAGAATTTTTCAAGTGAAAGAACACCCCCCAAGCCAAATCAAGCAATGCCCTCATTGTCTTGGGAGAGTAGCCTACTCCTCATCCTCATCCATCATAGAATAACCCCCGCCGTGGTTAGAACCGGCTCCTCCATGGCTAGAGCCACCACCACCATACCCCGAACCACCGGCATAGTAGTTAGGGTCTACATTCCCACCCATACCCCCATATCCGTGGACCGAAGAGTAGTCCACATAAGTACCATAAGCACCGGGGTGAGAATACCCTCCTTGGGAGTATTGGAACCAATCGGGATTAAGTGAATCGGGAGGAATAGCCCCCCGACGGGCATAATCATTAATTACCTGA